AATATAGACTAAATATGGAAAGAGGGAATTTTTATCTGGAGAAATGAAATTTGTAGTGTAGGTCTTGGAAAAAATATTTTTAAAAATGTACGCCATGGTAAGGATCTTGAATATTTTTACAAAAATAATTTAAAAAACCTACTCCTATAAGTAGGCCTTAGAATCTAATATTTAAAAATCCCCACCTATAACATGGCCTTAGAATCTAATTATTAAAAATCCCCACCTATAACATGGCCTTAGAATCTAATTATTAAAAATCCCCACCTATAACATGGCCTTAGAATCTAATTATTAAAAATCCCCACCTATAACATGGCCTTAGAAACAATTTTTTTTAAAATCCACGCCTATAAGTAGGCCTTAAAAACTAATTTTTAAAAATCCACGCCTTTAAGTTGGCTTTAGAAAATAATTTTGAAAAAATCCACGCCCAAAAGTAGGCTATAGAAACTATTTTTTAAAAATCCACGCCTATAAGTGGGCCTTAAAAACTAATTTTTAAAAATCCACGCCTTAAAAACTAATTTTTAAAAATCCACGCCTATAGGTAGGCCTTAAAAACTAATTTTTAAAAATCCACGCCTATAAGTAGGCTTTAAAAATTTATTTTTAAAAATACACGTTTATAAGTAGGCCTTAAAAACTACTTTTTAAAAATCCACGCCTAAAAGTAGGCTATAGAAACTAATTTTTAAAAATCCACGCCTATAGGTAGGCCTTAAAAACTAATTTTTAAAAATCCACGCCTATAGGTAGGCCTTAAAAACTAATTTTTAAAAATCCACGCATATAAGTAGACCTTAAAAACTAATTTTTAAAAATCCACGCCTATAAGTAGACCTTAAAAACTAATTTTTAAAAATCCTACAAATAGGCCTTAGAATCTCATTTTTCTAAATCCACGTCTATAAATTGGCCTTAGAATCTCATTTTTAAAAATCAACACCTATAAGTAGGTCTTAGAAACTAATTTTTTAAAATCCACGTCTATAAGTAGGCTTCAGAGACTAATTTTTAAAACTCCACGCTTATAAGTAGGTCTTGAAAACATTTTTTAGAAATCTACGCCTATAAGTAGACCCTAAAAACCAATTTTTAAATATGTACGCCTATAAGTAGACCTTGAAAATAAATTTTTAAATATGCACGCCTATAAGTAGGCATTGAAAACAAATTTTTAAATATGTACGCCTATAAGTAGGCCTTGAATTTTTTTATAATATACTCCTATAGGTAGGCCTTGAAAACCATTTTTGAAATATCTATGCCTATAAGTAGGCCTTGAAAACATTTTTTTTGAAATATATATGCCTATAAGTAGGCCTTGAAAACATTTTTTTCAAATATATATGCCTATAAGTAGGCCTTGAAAACATTTTTTTGAAATATCTATGCCTATGGATATGCCTTGAAAAATATTGTTTAAAAAATCCACGCCTAAGCCTATGCCTTGAAAAATATTCTTCAAAAAAATCCACGCCTAAGGCTATGCCTTGAAAAATATTCTTCAAAAAAATCCACGCCTAAGGCTATGCCTTGAAAAATATTCTTCAAAAAAATCCACGCCTAAGGCTATGCCTTGAAAAATATTGTTTAAAAAATCCACGCCTAAGGCTATGCCTTGAAAAATATTGTTTAAAAAAATCCACGCCTAAGGCTATGCCTTGAAAAATATTCTTTAAAAAATCCACGCCTAAGGCTATGCCTTGAAAAATATTCTTTAAAAAATCCACGCCTAAGGCTATGCCTTGAAAAATATTGTTTAAAAAATCCACGCCTAAGGCTATGCATTGAAAAATATTCTTCAAAAAATCCACGCCGAAGGCTATGCCTTGAAAAATATTGTTTAAAAAATCCACGCATAAGGCTATGCCTTGAAAAATATTGTTTAAAAAATCCACGCCTAAGGCTATGCCTTTAAAAATATTGTGTAAAAAATCCACGCCTAAGGCTATGCCTTGAAAATTATTCTTTAAAAAATCCACGCCTAAGGCTATGCCTTGAAAAATATTGTTTAAAAAATCCACGCCTAAGGCTATGCCTTGACTCCAAAGGCTATTCCTTGAAAAAAATATTTGTAAAGAAACCACCCATATGGATATGCCTTGAAAAAATATATTTGAATTGTTTTACGTTTTTACCCTTTTCCTTAACCTTGAAAATAATTTTTTTTCAAGAATTTGAATTAAATACAGGAGTCCTCCTTTTCATAAAATTAAAGCATACTTTTAGGCACAACATAATTCTAATAAATTACAAGACAATTATATTCTTTAAGAATAAATTACATCCTTCGAATAAATGGGTGTTATGGTAACAAGTTAAATAAATTACAGAGAGAAGGAAAGTCAAATGCCGCCAGTTGTTCTAAAGTAATTTATTTACTTTATAATTTTTCGAAAAACTTTTCAAAGAGGCCAACAAACTTTTTTTAATGATGTATCTGGGCAAGGTCTTTATAAAATATAATTAAAGAAAATTTACAAAGGAATCAACATCCATTCCATCAAACCATTCTTAGAAATCGAAAATTCATGTGAAAATTGTAGCAATATTTTCGATGATGCAATTTACTCCAGGAAAATATGTATGTCCTTTGTTCCTAGTTATGTTCCCAAGAAATATTATTACTTGCGTTGAAAGCTCACCTGCCTGTCTTCTTGGAACACTTAAATTATACAATTTTTGTACCTCATTTCCTCAAGTCGAAGTCTTGTAGTCATTTCAATTGCCAATCATTGAATTTTTGATGTTCCCTCCCACCTCTTCCTCCTTTTTCCCCCAACCACTTCCATTGACATTCTAATTTTCCATTTTCCCACAGCCATAAGGCATCTAATTAAAAGTTTCTGTGCCTTCCCATTCCTGATTTTTTTTTTTCATTCTAAACAAAGTGTACCTAGCAATTTGTCGGAAATAAAAAAAAACGAAGTCAACATTTAAAAATTTCAACAACCTTCTTTTCCAATTTAAATATCAACTTTTTTCTCTTCTATTGATTTCAAAAGTTTTTAGAAAAAATTACAAAACCAACAACAATTCTGAACATAATTGTGTTGCTCTTTTTGCAACGAAGTAATTTTTGTATGTCAATACGAAAAATATCAGGAATTGGTTTCACAAAACTAGAAAAAAAAACTTTTCTGATATTATTTTGACAATTTACTTAATGAGTAGGGTAATTACCTGTAACAACAAGGAAAAGCATACTTTTAGGAGAAATGAAAAATTCAAAATTGTTGTTTAGATTTTTAATGAGAATGCAATTTTGGGAAATAAATTTAAATTAGAATAGTTGGAAATTTGTTTTGCGAATTAATTGGGAAATTGTTGAGAAAATGTTCCTCTATTTTCTATTAATATTGAATATGTAGGCCTTGAAAATAATTTCATTAACAAATCCACTCCTTTAAGTAGGCCTTGAAATAATTGCCGTAAAAATCAACGCCTATAAGTAGGCCTTGAAATAATAACTTTAAAAAATCCACGCCTATAAGTAGGCCCTGAAATAATTACTTTAAAAAATCTACGCATAAAAGTAGGCCTTGAAATAACTACATTAAAAAATCCACGCCTATAAGTAGGCCTTGAAATAATAACTTTGAAAAATCCACGCCTATAAGTAGGCCTTGAAATAATAACTTTGAAAAATCCACGCCTATAAGTAGGCCTTGAAATAATAAATTAAAAAAATCCACGCCTATAAGTAGGCCTTGAAATAATCAATTTAAAAAATCCACGCCTATATGTAGGCCTTGAGATAATAACTTTTAAAAATCCACGCCTATAAGTAGGCCTTGAAATAAATATTTTCAAGAATCCACGCCTTAAAGTAGGCCTTGAAATAAATATGTTAAAGAATCCACGCCTTAAAGTAGGCCTTGAAATATTAACTTTAAAAAATCCACGCCTATAAGTAGGCCTTGAAATAATAACTTTAAAAAATCCACGCCTATAAGTAGGCCTTGAAATAATTGCTTTAAAAAATCCACGCCTATAAGTAGACCTTGAAAACTGATTTTAAAAAATCCACGCCTTAAAGTAGGTCTTGAAATATTTACTTTAAAAAATCCACGCCTTAAAGTAGGCCTTGAAATACTTACTTTAAAAAATCCACGCCTTAAAGTAGGCCTTGAAATACTTACTTGAAAAAATCCTTGTCTTAAAGTAGGCCTTGAAATAATAACTTTAAAAAATCCACGCCTATATGTAGGCCTTGAAATAATAACTTTGAAAAATCCACGCCTATAAGTAGGCCTTGAAATAATAACTTTGAAAAATCCACGCCTATAAGTAGGCCTTGAAATACTAACTTTGAAAAATCCACGCCTAAATGTAGGCATTGAAATAATAAATTTAAAAAATCCACGCCTATAAGTGGGCCTTGAAATAAGTAGTTTAAAGAATCCACGCCTATAAGTAGGCCTTGAGAACTGATTTTAAAAAATCCACGCCTATAAGTAGGCCTTGAAAACTGATTTTAAAAAATCCACGTCTATAAGTAGGCCTTGAAAACTGATTTTAAAAAATCCATGCCTATAAATAGGCCTTGAAAACTGATCTTAAAAAATCCACGCCTATAAGTAGGCGTTGAGAACTGATTTTAAAAAATCCACGCCTATAAGTAGGCCTTGAAAACTGATTTTAAATAATTCACGCCTATAGGTAGGCCTTGAAAACTGATTTTAAAAAATCCACGCCTATAAGTAGACCTTGAAAACTGATTTTAAAAAATCCGCGCCGATAAGTAGGCCTTCAAAATTGATTTTAAAAAATACACGCCGATAAGTAGGCCTTGAAAACTGATTTAAAAAAATCTACGCCTCTAAGTAGGCCTTTAAAAATGATTTTAAAAAATCCACGCCTATATGTAGACCTTAAAAAGGGATATTTAAAAAATCAACGCCTATAGGTAGGCCTTAGACACTATTTTTTTTTTAAATTCACGCCACTGTGTATACTTTAAAAATAATTTTAATTTTTTTTATATATTCCAGAATCCTTCAAAAAGCCCATCGCAAACATCACATCAACATCAATTGCATGGACCCCTTGGGTCGGCGAGCCCTTACCCTGGCCATCGATAATGAAAATCTCGAAATGGTAGAACTCTTGGTTATTATGGGTGTTGAAACCAAAGATGCCCTGCTGCATGCCATCAATGCAGAATTTGTCGAGGCTGTGGAGTTGCTATTGGAACATGAAGAGCTCATCTACAAAGAGGGTGACCTATATGTAAGTATTGTATTTTATCAAAAAGGAAAGGATGAGGAAAGGGATGACAAAGAAAAGGATATGTGTCTTATCACCAACAACACAAAATTTAAAGTACATTTTAAGTTTTTTCCTCCCAGGGATATATAAAAAGAGGTTACACTCCTTTGAAACATTTTTAGTTTTCCTTTTTTATTATTTCGTCGTATTTCAGCCTCAGCCTCAGGCCAGGAAGTTGAGTTGAGAAAATATATCCTAATCTTTAATTAGACATCAGTCATTAGACACGTTTTTTGGGAAGGGTGTGTGTGTGACAATGCCTTGGGGATATGTTGCAAATTTCCTTCTTGGTTTTTTTTGTAGTTGTTGTTGGTAATTTTGTGCCAGGATTGTCATCAACACCTTAGGGTGGAAATTTAATATGAAATTTTATTTCTTAGAATGAGGGCAGGGAGGAGGGCAATCAGTTTTATTTTGCAATTATTTTTTATTGATTTTATTATGGGGGAAAAAAATAATATTTTTACAAAATCCAAGTCAGGTATGGAACCTTAAAAATATTTAATGAATATCCAAAGTGGGTCTGGCAGTAAACGGCGAGAAGACAAAGCTGATGGTATCAATGCACAAGACGTCCAGTAGACTCGGACCAACTGTGGAACTTGAGAACTACAGTTTTGAGGTCTTTAACTTTATATACCTTGGTACCGCCATAAATAAAACGAATGACATCAGTTTTGAAATTCGGAGAAGAATTGTGATGGCCAACCGGTGCTAGGTCTGAGCAAACAACTCAAAAGCAAGGCCACCTCCCGCCAGACCAAGTTCACACTTTCCAAGACGCTGATACTACCCGTGCTATTATATGGATCGGAAGCATGGGTACTTGCGCAAGCAGATGAGGCAGCTCTTGGGGTGTTTGAAAGAAAAATTCTCCGGCGGCGGTGAATATCGGCGTCGAATGAACCACGAGCTCTACAGTTTTTACGCGGACATCGACATAGTCAGTCGTATTGAGTTGCAGCGACTACGGTGGCCCCAGCTAAAAAAGGCATATAAAAGCGAGCCTACTGATGGTTCCCGTAGAAGGGAAAGGGCACGAATCAGATGGAAAGACCAAGTAGTGAACAACATCTTGGAACGTGGTCTTCCAAATTGGTGGATATGTGCACAAGACCGACGCGCTTGGAAATCTTTTTTAAGCTCAGCTTATGGAACAACCGTTCTGTAACAAGCCAGCTAAGTAAGTAAGTAGTAAGAATATCCACGAATTTTTTGGACCTTGAAACCAGTAAGAAAGTAGTAAAGTCAGACAGGGCCGACTATATGATACCCTTCACCACTTTGGGGATATTCAATAGATGAATCCTAAGAGACGTCGCATTTTTGAAGGACCAGTAAAATGACATTGGATCCATAAACATGCCATTCTGAAACCTACACAAAATTTTTCATTTGGTCGGATATAGAGTTGCTTCTTACAATGGGACAAACTTATGTAAATCAATTTAAAGCAAATATCAATCGGACACCCGTTAATTATTTGAATAAATATCTGATAAACATGAGGAGTTTGGTGCACAATTTACATAAACCGATTTTCAGGAAAGATGTATATGAATCTGAACCGATTTTCACGAAACTTAACACACATCATTCTAGGCGTAATTCAGTATGCTATGCCAAAATTTCGTGCAAATCAAAAGATATATAAGGACTTTGGTATATCATTTATATTAAATCGGACGAAAATATATAAGGAAGCTTTATCTAAATCTGAACCGATTTTCACAAAACTTAGCACACATCATTCTTGACTTAATTTAGTACGCTGTGCCAAATTTCGTGCAAGTCGAAAGATATTTAGGGACTTTGGTACTCCATTTACATTAAATCGGACGAAAATATGTATGGGAGCTAAATCTGAACTGATTTACACGAAACTTAATACATACCATTCTTGGCTTAATTCCGTACGCTATGCCAAATTTCGTAGTAATCTCCTTGGTGCACTATTTACACACGAAGATATATATGCTATATCTAAATCTGAGATTTTCATGAAACTTAGCACACATTATTCATTATGCTGTGCCAAATTCGTGCAAATCAAAAGATATTTAGGGACTTTGGTGCCCCATTTGCCTTAAATCGGACGAAAATATATATGGGAACTATATCTAAATCTGAACCGATTTTCAAGAAACTTAATACACATTATTCTAGACCTAAATAATTAGGCTGTGCCAAATTTCGTGCAAATCGACAGGTATATAGGTACTGTTTACATTAAATCAGGCGAAAATATATATGGGAGCTATATCTTAATCTGAACCGATTTTTCCCAATTTAAAAAGGATTCGTCCTTGGGCCAAATAAATGAGCTGTGCCAAATTTCATCCAAGTCGGATCATAAATGCGACCTGTACTTTGTTTACAATTTAACATGTACAGACAGACAGACGGACGATTTTTTTTTAATCCACGCCTATGGAAGACCCTGTAAAACATAGCCTGAAAAATGACATGCTCTACAACCGCAAAAAAAAAACCAGTGAGCGGAGCTGTATAGTCGGACGGGCCGACCATATGATACCCTACACTACTACCACCGAACTGTAACATTTTGCGGATGTATATTCCAAGCCTGTTGCCCGATTAGAGATCAAAAGCACCTCTTCCTTACACTGACATATTTTCTGTACTCTGTACAATCCTTCTTATTATTTATCCAGATTCCCTTGACCTTCGACTTATAAATGTGGCCTATAGATCGACTCGAAAAACCACAAAAAACTAAGTTTTTGGTCCACTTCATCCCAAAATTATTATCTGATCATCACCGAAAATTATAGGCGTTGTCCTTGATCATACCTGGAACCTCATGGAAAATTTCAAAGCGATCATCGCTATATTTCCGCCCTCTAGTGGGTTACAGGTGCTTACACCTGTAAATATTTAAGTGCACCTCCCACATCCGAGTATATAAAGGCTAACCACTCTTCTTCGATTCACTATCAACTTTTCGGGTCTATATCCTTCAGGAGTAAATGTATACGCCATACAATACAATACAATTTTTTCACACAAATTTGTATTTTTTCACACAAAAGTCAGGGTTCATTTGACCCGTTAACTTGCGGCCTTTAGAGCGACCAGAAAACCCGATAAAAATTAAGTATTTGGTCCACTTCATAGATATTAACCGATCTTTACCAAAGGGGTCTTCATTGAACCCATCCTACATTTCGTGAAGATTGGTCCATAACTGTGGCCTGTATTGTGTTTACAATATATAATGGACAGACGGACTGACGGACACACATGTCTACATGGACACTGCTAGTCGAGATATGACGAGCGGTATACTTAAAGGTGGGTCTAGGACAATATTTCGTGGCGTTACTAACTTTTGGGGCTGCACAATGATATAATACCCTGAGAACATAGTTGTGTAGGGAATAAAAATTGTTTTTTTCCTTAAATCCTTAAATTTGACCCTCATCCCTTGGGTTTGAAACTATGTCACTCATATGTATCTCCACCAATTTTGTTTAAATGCTGGCAATATAAAATCATAATCACTGGCAATTTAGTTTCGTTTGTGCGTTTCTCTTTCTATTTCCATCATTTTTCCTATTTTTCGTAACTCAAGAAGAACAGAACAGACAAAGGAACAACAAATTTCTGATGATATTCTACAATGGGGGTAAGCCTACTTCTATATGCCTAGTCATAGGCATTCATTCATAGTTGGAAGAGGATGTGTGTGTGTGAGAGAGAGCCTTTTTTACGCTTGGCTCTTAAGCAAGCAGAACGATGACAACAACAGCAACAACTACAAATGACATGAATGTTTGCTTGATTAGGCACTTAATGTACCACAAATGTTACGTTTTAGCTACTTTAACTTCTATGATGCTTGAGACGATGATGATGACGATGACTACGACGACTTGCCTCTTAGTTGGTCTTTTGGAAAAAATACAAAATCACTTATTTATGCCAGCGGAACTGGAAAAAAATGAAAGGCACACGCCCTTGACTTCATTTTCTTCCCATGAATGAAAATGTTTAGAAAAGTTAAGCAAGAAAAAAATGTTTTGCAAAGCTCTAGAGACAGGCTACTAAGCTTTTGCAGTTCAGTTTTTTTTTTGTTAGGCAAATAAATGATTCGCATTTTTGCCACTGAATTAAAAGTTATCTCAACTGGCTTTAAACATTTTCCTTTTCAATGAAACAGTTCTTGTTTTGTTGCTGTTGCCTTCTTTGGTATTCACTTTGTTATTCAGGTTGTTATTCTTTCTTCGGAGTTTTTTCTTCTTCTTGTTTAACCAACTATGTTTCCTTTGTTTTCACTGCGATTTTTTTTTCTTTTCTGTTTCTTCTTCACAGAGTTGGCAAAAAGTTGACATTAATACCGCCATGTTTCCGCCGGATATAACACCTTTGATACTGGCAGCTCACAAAAACAATTTCGAAATTTTAAAAATTCTTTTGGACAGAGGTGCTGCTGTCCCCGTGCCGCATGATATCAGGTAAGTTGTCGCCAAGAATTTTTTTGCATCCTTTTGTATTTTTGTTTGTGGGTATTCGGAAAAAGTAAAATCTAGGCATGAAAAGTAGACAATCAGGAACACAAAAGGAAATGAAGGTTTTCATGGTTCCTTTATTTTATTTTTTTTTGGAAAATATCTCAAAAATAGCATAATTTTTAAAGGAGGAGGTCCTGCTAAGACTTGAAAACACATTGTTTAAAAATCCACGCCATGTTTGAGACTTTGAAAATAATTTCAAAAAATTCAAGCCTTTTGTGGGCCTTAAAAAACATTTTTTAAAATTCACTTCTGGGTCCTATGGTGCGAATCGGCTATATTTTGGGTCTTTGGTTCACCATTTACTGAAAATTGGACGAAATTATATATAGGTGCTACATCTAAATCTGAACCGAATTCAACGAAACTTTACACACAGTAGGTTATGCCAACTTCAGTACGTGATGCAAAGTTTTGTGACAATCGGCCATATTTTGGGGCTTTGGTGCACCATTTACCATAAATCTGACGAAGATATATAAGGGAGCTATATCTAAATCTGAACCGATTTCCACAAAACTTAGCACACATCATTATTGGCTTAATTCAGTACGCTGTGTCAAATTTCGTGCAAATCGGAAGATTTTTAGGGACTTTGGAGCACCATTTACCTTAAATCGGACGAAACTATATATGGGATCTATATCTAAATCTGAACCGATATTCACGAAACTTTGCACACACCATTCTAGACTTAATTCAGTACGCTGTGCAAAATTTCGTGCAATTCGCAAAATTTTTAGGGACTTTGGTACACAATTTACCTTAAATCGGACGAAGGTATATAAGGGAGCTATATCGAAATCTGAACCGATTTTCACGAAACTTTGCACAGATCATTCTAGACCTTAGTCATTACTCTGTGCCAAATTTCGTGCAAATCGAATGATATATAGGGACTTTAGTGGACTATTTACCTAAAATCTGGCGAAACTATATATGGGATCTATATCTAAATCTGAACCGATTTTCACGAAATTTTGCACACATCATTCTAGACTTAATTCTGTACGCTATACAAATTTCGTGCAAATCGAAAGATATATAGGGACTTTGGTACACCATTTACCTTAAATCGGACGAAAATATATATGGAAGCTATATCTAAATCTGAACCGATTTCCAGGAAACTTAACACACATCATTCTAGACCTTAGTCATTACTCTGTGCCAAATTTCGTGCTAATCGGATGATATATAGGGACTTTAGTGCAGTATTTACCTAAAATCTGGCGAAACTATATATGGGATCTATATCTAAATCTGAACAGATTTTCACGAAACTTTGCACACATCATTCTAGACTTAATTCAGTATGCTATACCAATTTTCGTGCAAATCGAAAGATATATAGAGACTTTGGTACACAATTTACCTTAAATCGGACGAAGATATATAAGGGAGCTATATCTAAATCGGAACCGATTTTCACGATACTTTGACTTTAGTGGACTATTTACCTAAAATCTGGCGAAACTATATATGGGAGCTATATCTAAATCTGAACCGATTTTCACGAAACTTAGCACACATCATTATTGGCTTAATTCAGTACGCTGTGCCAAATTTCGTGCAAATCGAAAGGTATATAGGGACTTTGGTAGACCATTTACTTTAAATCGGACGAAAATATATATGGGAGCTATATGCAAATCTGAACCGATTTTCCAAATTTCAATAGGGTTCGTCCGGGGCCAAACAAATGAGCTGTGCCAAATTTCATCCAATTCGGATCATAAATCCGACCTGTACTTTGTTTACAATTTAACATGGAGAGATAGATGGACAGACGGATGGTCGGACGGACGGACATACATCGACTTTGAAAGTGATTCTATACATACTCTCAAAAGGAACCATGGGTCTATCTCGTTTCCTCTATCATGTTACAAACATATGCACAAAGACATAATACCCTGTACCACAGTGTGGTGAAGGGTATAAAAATCTACGCCTGAAAAATATTTTTTTTATGGACCTTGAAAAAAATATTTTTGAAAAATCCACGCCTATGGAGGACCTTTGAAAAATTATAGTACTTCAATATTTAATTTACTTTTTTCCAGATGCGGTTGCGATGAATGTGTCCGCATGTCCACCGAAGATTCTCTACGTCATTCCTTGTCTCGTGTTAACATCTATCGTGCCCTTTCCAGTCCTTCGCTGATCTGCCTGACTTCTCAAGATCCTATTATGACATCCTTTCAGTTATCCTGGGAATTAAGGAATTTGTCACTGACCGAACAGGTGAGGTCCTAGGAGAAATAAATTTTACTCATAAAATAAAACTTATCCTTTTTATCCTCCCCCTCAGGAATCTAAGACCGAGTATGTGGAACTGCGAAGGCAATGTCAACAATTTGCCGTCGATCTTTTGGATCAGACTCGGACCTCTAGTGAATTGGCCATAATGTTGAATTACGATCCGGATATGTCAACATATCAGCCCGGGGATCGTATGTCCTTGTCACGTCTAACCCAGGCGGTGTATTATAAGCAGAAGAAGGTGGGTCAAATATGGAGAGATTTTTGAAGGTTTTTATGTTTCTTTCCTTTTTTCCAGTTCGTGGCCCATTCCAACATCCAACAATTGCTCTCGGCCATTTGGTATGAAGGCTTGCCCGGTTTTCGCCGCAAAACCCTGCTGGAGAAAATGATTTGTATTGCCCAGGTGGCGGTATTGTTCCCTATCTATTGTATGATCTATATGGTGGCGCCCAATTGCAAAACTGGAGATTTAATGCGAAAACCATTCATGAAATTTCTCATTCACGCCTCTTCGTATCTTTTCTTTTTGTGTAAGTAGACGATGATGATGACGAAAAGAAGAAGAAAAGTGACACAAAAGATTTGAGATCTTGTTTTTGATGGTACACACACAAACAAGCATAATTGAATAGCATGCTTAGATATAGAAAGTGATTGTGGGGGTGAAAGAAGACTGAGGGGAAAAGAGTCCACGAATTGTTGGGAAAAAGCTGGTAAATGACAGACTCATTTTCAATTTTCAAGTTTTCAATTCATTCATCACAGAGAATTTTTAATACAAAGGACTTTTAGTGGGTAGGGGAGTACTTTGCAAGGGGGGAAGAGGATTAATACACTCATACACATTCAACCACACACACATACACATTTCTACACACACTAAATGAAAATATATTCACTAACATCCTTTTGGAAAATTGAGGGAGTAAATCCACTTCCTCTGCACTATGTTTATATGAGCGGGGTTGGGGCTTCGGGGTAGGGCAAGTAGTGGAGGAGTTCCTTGTTGTTGTGGTGGTAGGAGCCAATGGACTTTATGCTTTCCTATTTGTTTTTGAATGACATGATGACTCTACTGGTTTTCAACAACTGTGACAACTGTGAACCCACACAAGAGAATCCTCCACCCGGACTGGAGGAAGATGCTGTTGTCTTAAAACCATTTGTGGACATTATCTAATCTCATAAAGCAACGACAGCATCATTTCATGTAATACAACGACAATAATGATAACTGACGAGAGCTGACAGTGGGTAAGGAGGTGAATTCCAGGATTTTCAACCAAAATAAATTAAATCAGGAAAATTATCTAAGAGATAAGAGCAACAGGACAACTTGTTGTTGAGATAAGGTCCAGTAAGGACCATTATCTTAGAGATAAGGGCCAGTCAGGACCATTATCTCTGAGATAAAGGCCAGTCAGGACCATTATCTCTGAGATAAGGGCCAGTCAGGACCAAGATCTATGAGATAAGTGCCATTCAGGATCATTATCTATGAGATTATCTCTGAGATGAGGGCCAGTCAGGACCATTATCTCTGAGATGAGGGCCAGTCAGGATCATTATCTCTGAGATAAGGGCCTGTCAGGACGATTTTCTATGAGATAAGGGCCGGTCAGGACCATCATCTCTGATATAAGGGCCAATCAGGACAATTATCTATGAGATAAGGGCCAGTCAGGATCATTATCTCTGAGATGAGGGCCAGTCAGGAACATTATACCTGAGATAAGACCCAATCAGGAACATTATCTCTGAGATAAGACCCAATCAGGAACATTATCTCGGAGATAAGACCCAATCAGGAACATTATCTCTGAGATGAGGGCCAGTCAGGACCATTATATCTGAGATAAGGGCCAGTCAGGACCATTATCTCTGAGATAAGGGCCAGTCCGGACCATAATATTTGAGATAAGTGTCAGTCAGGACCATTATCTGTGGCATAAGGGCCAGTCAGGACAATTATCTCCGAGATAAGGGCCTGTCGGGACCATTATGTTTGAGATAAGTGTCAGTCAGGACCATTATCTCTGAGATAAGGGCCAGTCAGGACCATTATCTTTGAGATAAGGGCCAATCAGGACCATTATCTTTGAGATAAGGGTCAATCAGGACCATTATCTCTGAGCTAATGACCGATCAAAACCCTTCTCTCCAAGATATGAGATTTTTACCACTTCCAGTAACCACTGTGTCCCTCATCCAACACCATGGACCATAATGATAATGGAATAGAATGCTAAGCGCATTTTTCCTTTTCCTTTTGTTTTTAAATACCAACACTCTTCCGCACACACTGACACACACTTTCATATCCTCTCATAGATATTCTTACATTTAAATGACAACCACTAAGCCAGCACATAAGAATAACATTTAATGCTGCTGCCACCATCACCACCACTACTATCACACTAACGACCACATAACAAACCACACACACGAATACATGCATATAGGAGATCACCACATAATAACCACATACCAACACCATCAAATCATAGACTATTATTATTCTACTTAATGGCATATCCTGGCAAAGAGGGATATTCTGTAGGTGTTCAAGTGGGTGTGTTGTGTAGAACATAGAATGTCCTTGTACTTGACCAAAAGGATATCATGTTATTTTTTCACACACGACCACACAACCATACACACATGGATAGGGATTTACTATTTAAGAATAATCGAGTAAAGACAATGGCGACCACAATCGTATAGGGAAGTTCCAGGGAGTCCTTCGAACTATTTAAAGAACATCATACCCAGGAAAGGGGAGATGAGTAAAGTGAGAACTGTAAAAATGAACAATCGATAGTGTTGTTGTGTGTGTTTTTTTTTTAATTACGTGACAAAAAATCGCATAGAGAATAACGAGTTCACCTACATTACGGAGACATTATGGGGTCAAGGAGAGTCTTTGTGTAAGAAAAGGGTCTTAAGATAAATATGGGAAATATATAAAGGCCAGCCAGGTTCATTATATATGCGATAAGGACAAATTAGGTCCATTATCTCAGATATAAAGGCCATTATTCAGAGATAAGGGCCAATCAGGTTCATTATCTCAGAAATAAGGGTCAATCAGGTCCATTATCACAGAGATAAGGGCCAAGAAATAAGGGTCAATCAGGTCCATTATCACAGAGATAAGGGCCAATCAGGTCCATTATCTCAGAGATGAGGGCCAATAAGGTCCATTATCTCAGAAATAAGGGCCAATCAGGTCCATTATCTCTTACATAAACATAAAAGCCGGTCAGGAATATTATCTCGGAGGTAAGGGCCAGTCAGCATCATTATTTCTGAGATAAGGCACAGTCAGGACCATTATCTCTGAGATAAGGGACAGTTACGATCATATGGGCCAGGTAGGACAATTACCTCTGAGATTAGCGCCAATCAGGACCATTATCTCTGTGATAAGGACAGGTCAGCACCATTATCTTTGATATAAGGACCGGTCAGGACAATTATCTCCGAGATAATGGCCATTATCTCTGAGGTAAGGGTCTGTCAGGACCATTATCTCTGAGATAAGGGCCAGTCAATACCATTATCTCTGAGATAAGGACCATTTAGTATCATTTACTCTGAGATAAGGACCTGTAAGGACCATTATCTCTGAGATAAGGGCCAGCTAGGTTGATTATAAAGACCAGTCAGGGTCATTATTCTAAGATAAGGGCCATTCAGAACCATTATCACTGAGATAATATTTAGTCATGACCATTATCTCTGAGATAAGGGCCACTCAGGGCGATAATCTCTGAAATAAGGCCCAGTCAGGATTATAATCTCTAAGATAAGGGCCAGTCAGAGCCTTTATATCTGAGATAAGGGCCTTTCAGGACCAATATCTCAAAGATGAGGGCCATTCAGGACCATTATCTCGGAGATTAGGGCCAATTAAGAGCATTATCTCGAAGATAAGTGCCGGTGAGGACATTATCACGGATGTAAGGGCCAGTAATGACCATTTCCCTCTTTCTGCTAGCCCTGATTACTATTTAATATCTCCAATTTTCCATAAGCAAGTCACATAATTTTTCGTTTTTTATTGTCCTTTTGGTTTTCTATCCTTTTCTTTTTCCCTGCTGCTGCTGTTCTGCATTTGACATTCAACAGTTATCCTGATACTCGTCTCTCAGCGTGCCGATGAAGATGTCATTCGTATTCTGGGCACTGAACGTATGAAAAAGCAGCTACTCGAAGAGAAAATGCGACAACGTGGTAGGGGTCCAACAAAACTTGAGCTGTTGGTGGTGTTGTATGTCTTTGGTTTCATGTGGGAAGAGGTGCAGGAAATCTTCAATGTGGGCATGAAATGTTACCTGCGGAATATGTGGAATTTCATTGATTTCCTGAGGAATAGTTTGTACATCAGTGTGATGTGTATGAGGTAAGGGCAAAGGTATAGATTTTTTTATGGTGAAAAAAATAAAATTTTCTTTTTCAGGACCTTTGCTTATATCCAACAGGCCCGCGAGATATCCCGTGACCCCAAGATGGCTTTTGTGCCCCGAGAGCAATGGGATGATTTTGATCCGCAGCTGATTGCGGAGGGGCTGTTTGCTGCCGCCAATGTCTTTTCGGCCTTGAAGCTGGTCCACATGTTCTCGATAAATCCCCATTTGGGTCCATTGCAGATTTCTTTGGGCCGTATGGTTATCGATATTGTGAAATTCTTCTTCATCTACTCTCTGGTGCTGTTCGCCTTTGCCTGTGGCCTAAATCAGTTGCTGTGGTATTTTGCTGATTTGGAGAAAAGCAAATGTTATGTCCTGCCGAATGGAGAGGCAGATTGGGCAGGGCACTCGGACTCGTGTATGAAATGGCGACGTTTTGGCAAGTAAGTATGGGTACCCCGACCATCTATGTGCATGACTAAGGGAATTCTAAAAATAGTAAGGATTCTTTTAACTACGAGGAGGATGACGTCCATGGAGTTGGACTATTGATTCAAATGACAATTTTTTGTGGGCCCATAAGGAAATTGATGATTTGACAACAGCAACAACAATTCTAACCAATGTTTGTTTTCTTTTTCTCATCCTCCTTTTTTCTCGTTTTCCCCTTGCAGTTTATTTGAATCTTCGCAGTCATTGTTTTGGGCCAGTTTCGGCATGGTCGGCCTCGAGGATTTTGAGTTAACTGGCATTAAATCCTATACACGTTTCTGGGGTCTTCTCATGTTCGGCTCGTACAGTGTCATCAATGTGATTGTCTTGTTGAATCTGCTAATAGCCATGATGTCCAATTCCTATGCCATGATTGATGTAAGTTCTTCCCAACCAACACACACACTTCGAATGTTAAGGGCCAAACAGAAATCTCTTTGAAATGCCAGCTGACGTAACAAAAACAAAACCGAAAAAAATCGACAAACAACAACAAGTGAAAGCAATCTCCAAGGATATCTGGCGATTTTGAAATTTCGGGCACGTGTATTTCAAGGGGATTCTTGGCATTTAACATTGTTAGGTGTTTCCTCTCCCCTCTCCATCCCTCTCTATATGAGTGTGTTTCTCTGTGTCTGTCTCTATGTATACATTGTAATGCCTAAGTGTGTGTCTGTGTGTTTGTGGTTTTTCGTAGGAACATTCCGATACTGAATGGAAATTTGCACGTACCAAACTCTGGATGAGCTATTTCGAAGACAGCCCCACGTTGCCGCCACCCTTCAACATTCTGCCCTCCGTAAAGTGGCTCATTAGGCTATTTAGGAAATCAAGCAAAGAGATTGATCGCAAACGGAGCAAGGTAAGTGGTCATGAGTTGTCTGTCAATATTTTGCATAACTTCTAAAGGCAGCTACTAATTCGAGGTTGTTGTTGTTCTCCTTTCTGCACAGAAACGTCACGCCAAGGAACAGGATAATGCCTATGAGAATATTATGCGCTCATTGGTATGGCGCTACATAGCCGCCCAACATCGCAAGTTTGAGGATAATCCCGTTACTGAGGATGACATCAACGAGGTGAAGAGTGAAATTTCGACAATGCGTTATGAAATGTTGGATATCTTCGAGAGCAGTGGCATGGATGTGACATCGGCGGCCAAGAAGGAGAAACGTAAGGAGGAGATTTTTATTTTATTTTGAGAGGAAATAATGAATCATAAGTTCGGGATGGCCGACCCCTATCTCAGAGATAATGGTCATAACCGGCCCTTATCTCAGAGATAATGTACCTGACCGGTCCTTATTTTAGAGGTAATGGTCCTGACCGATCCTTCTCTCAGAGATATTGGTCCTGACCGGCTCTTATCTCAGAGATGATGGTCCTGACCGCCCCATATCTCAGAGATAATGGTCCTGACCGGCCCATATCTCAGAGATAATGGTCCTGACCGCCCCATATCTCAGAGATAATGGTCCTTACCGGCTCTTATCTCAGAGATAATGGTCCTGACCGGCCTTATCTCAGAGATAATGCACCTGACCGGCCTTATCTCAGAGATAATGCACCTGACCGGCCTTATCTCAGAGATATTGGACGTCTCAGAGTTACTGGTATTGTTCCCTACTGGCACTTTTCTACGAGATAATAGCAGGCTATCTAGAAGATAGCCTGAGGCTTATCTTCTTGATAATAATACTGAATGACCCTTATCTCCAAGACGATAGTCCAACATCCCCTTATTTCTGAGATAATGGTATTGAATATCCATTGTCTCAAAAACAATGGTCCTGATTGGCCCTTATCTCGAAGATAATGGTCGGGATTGGCCTTTATCTACGAAATACTGGTCTTGAATGGAGCCTATCTCCGTGATCATAATCCGGACTGGCGGTTATCTTCGAGCCAAGAGTCCTGACTGGCACTTATCTCCGAGATAATTGTCCTCAGGGTTCTAATCTTTCATAGAGTATTCTTTAAGGTACCTTATCTCGGAGATAATTGTCCGGAGTGGTCCTACGAGATATAACTGTGGACTGGTCCTTATCTCAGAGATAGCGTTCTTGACCAATTTCTTATGATGTTCTGAGAATATGGTCCAGGCTGGAAACTTGGGATCCACAGAACCTACCTTAACATAGCTTGAAATATTGAAATATTTTTTTTTCTTTCTTAGCCTGTCGTGCCAAGAAGACCAAAGTTTGGGAACGTCGTCTCATGAAGGGCTTCCAATTGGGTCCTGTCGAAAATGTCAACGATGAAAAATCCCCCAATAATAGCAATGTCAACGGCGCAGGGGATATGAATGAAATTAAAATCGAAAAGGAAGCATCTCGACCAGCGCAGGAAACTCCCAAGCAGAGATTCCAACGTGTTGCCAGGCAGGTGGCTGCTCAGTCGACTGCCCACAAATGGACAGTGGTGATACAAGGGACGCTAAAGAATTCACAAATTGGTCGATCGAACCAAGAGTCGGCTAAGAATTTGCAGCAGTTGAACAAGGCCATAGAGGAGGCAAGGAAGTAAGTGGAGCGAGAGAGGGAACAAGGAGAGGATCTCATAAAACACTAATTTATTTTAATTTTGGTATTGCAGATTAATTTTACACACCCCTGGCCACGTTTCGGGACGTGACTCACCCATTGGCGTTGAATTCGAGGATGAAAAAGCCGAAACCCTTTTGGAATTGTTAAATCAAATTAGCGAAGAACTATCAACCAAATCCAGCTCCACCACCAACCGTTCGAATGTTGAAGATGTCAAAAAGAGATTCCTGCAATATCAAAAAACTCCACCCGGCAGCGAGGCCAAATCCATATTGAAAGATCCACAGCCTCGTACCAAATCACCTTCCACGAAAACTGTTACCACACGATCTCAAACAGCACCTGAAATACAAATAAATAAGCATTTGGCGCCCAACAAGGGGCCGGTGAGTCATAAATCCCGGAAACCTGAGGCAGCTACCGATCCAAAATCTAAGAAAATTGAGGAATTGACATTATCAGCTGGGAAATTGTCATCAATAAAGAAACCAGCTCCATCGGCTCCAGGTGCTGCCAAAGCCCCGGAAGCGTCTAGCAGAACCCCTTTCTCGGTGGAGTTAAATAAGCCAGGACGCCGTCATGGCTATGACAATAAGACGTTGGTTTCCACAGCCAATATGGATTTCAATGTTGTGGATTTGGATGATTACGATAACGGGATGATGGATGATATATCACAGTTTAGTGGTGATTATCCTTAGAGGGAAATATTCGATTTTTGAGAACAAATGACAAAGAGAGTCAAAATTCAAATGTGCCTTATATGATTTTTGTCAGAGATTTTGAAGGAATTTATAGAAATTAAAATTCATTGTGATAATATTGAAATTTTATAAAAAAAAAATAAAGCGGAAGTAATTACGAAGGTTGTAGAGAACATATGGCTGAGCGTTATTTATTCGAGGGAGGTTCAGTCTGACATAATGAGCCTTGCAAAAAAAAAATCCACACCTGTGGTTATGCTTTGAAAAAATATTTTTAAACCAGTAAGGAAAGTAGTAAAGTCGGACTGGGCCGACTATATGATACCCTTCACCCCTTTGGGTATATTCTACAAATGTATCCTAACAGACGTCGCCTTTTCGAAGGAATACTAATTTCAATACGTTGTGTCAATCAATTTACATTAAATAGGACGAAAATTTATATGGGAGCTATAACTATAACTAAACCAATTTTCACGTAACTTAGCACACATCATTTTCGACCTAATTCCGCACCCTATGCCAAATTTCGTGCAAATCGAAAGATATATAGGGACTTTGGTGTAGCATTTACACAAAATCGGACGAAACTATACATGGGAGCTATATCTAAATTTCAACCGATTTTCTCGAAACTTAACACACGCCATTCAAGACTCAATTCAGTACAATATACACAATTTCGGGCAAATTGAAGAATATATATGGAGACCCGATTTTTTTATGACACACATCATTTCAATTTAGTACCCTATTTGAATTTATAGGGACTTTGGACAATTTACCTAAAATCGGACGAAAATATATATGCGACCTATATCTGTACCAATTTTCACGAAACTTTGCACACATAATTTTCGACCTAATTCAGTACCCTATGCCAAATTTCGCGCAAATCGAAAGATATATAGGGACTTTGGTGCACCATCTTCATAAAATCGGACGAAATTATATACGGTAGCTATATCTAAATCTGAACCGATTTTTACGAAACGTAGCACACGTCATTCAAGACCTAATTCAGTACCCTATGCCAAATTTCGTGTACATTTAAAGACATATAGGGACTTTGGTGCCCCATTTACATTAAATCGGACGAAAATATATATGAGAGCTATATCTTAATCTGACCCGATTTTTTCGAAACTTGACACACATCATTCAAGACTCAATTTAGTACCCTATGCAAAATTTCGTGCAAATCGAATGATATATAGGGACTTTGGTGCACCATTTACTTAAAATAGGACGAAAATATATATGGGAGCTATATCTATATCTGGACCGATTTTCACGAAACGTTTACACACATCATTCTCGACCTAATTCAGTACCCAATGGCAAATTTCGTGCACATCGAAATATATATAGGGACTTTGGTGCACCATTTACATAAAATCGGAAGAAACTATTCATGCGAGCTATATCTAAATCTGATTCAAGACACCATTCAGTACACTAAACAAAATTTCGTACAAATCGAAAGTAATAGTTACGGTACTAGTTACATAAAATCGGACGAAACTATATACGGGAGCTATATCTAAATCTGACCTGATTGCCTTCAATTTCAATAGGGTTCGTCCTTGGGCCAAATAAGTGAGCTGTGCCAAATTTCATCCAATTCGAATCAAAAATGCGAAATGTACTTTGTTTACAATTTATCATGGACAGACAGACGGACCGACATGCATAAATCGACTTAAAAAGTGATTCTATGTATATTCTCCACAGGAAATCTAAGTCTATCACGTTTCCGTTTGCCTGTTGCAAACATATGCACAAAGACATAATACCCTGTACCACAGTGTGGTGAAGGGTATAAAAATGCATGCCTGGTTTAGGACCTTGAAAAATATTCTTAAAAAAATTCAAGCCTTACTCTGGCCTTTGAAAAAATGTATAGGGCCTTGACAAAAAATTTTGACAATCCACGCTTTGTTTAGGACCTTGATGGGACCTCAAACAAATCTTGTTAACCTTATTGAAGAATTTGAACACCGCCCTAGACAATTTTGATTAAATAAATGTAAATTCTATTTTTTTAACTAAACTATCCCTTTAACAGTTCTACATAATCTCACCCACAATCTCTCAACGGGATCTTTCTTCAAACAGAAATTTATCTTCTCGCCCCTTTTGTGTGCTGCTGGTTTCCCATCAGCTTTGCCAACAAAATATATTTCGTTGAGATTATTTTCTCTAATAAACAAACGGATATCTAACAAAACAAAAAAAAAAAAAAAGAAATTCGAAAATAAAATCAGACATCATGGAAATAAACAACAATTTTTTGTCATTGATCCTTTTTTCACTTTCTCTGCATCCCCGCCCTGGTTTATTCGATTTTCACTTATCAGCGATGGTGGAACGGAAGAAGGATATGTTTACACATGATTGTCGTTGACATAAGGATTGTGACAGAAAAAAAACAAGTAAAACAAAAAAGAGTTTATTTGTTTTTGGTGTATAGTTGTTGTTGTTGTTGTTGTTGGCAGGGATGTGGTGGTAGTGGCAAAGGAAACGGATGTGTGATATTGAGCTGGCTTCTTTTAAATAACTGGCTGTGCAAGTTCCATTGCCAAAATCTAAGAGATTTGTAAGACAAACGAAAGAAAACAAAAACGACCCATAGCGACGACTATTTACAATCATCAAAACATTGATTCGAATGTTTTGGACGAAGAATCCGTTAGAATAAATGCTAGGATTATGGGCCTGGATGTTTATGACAACATTCATTGTCATTTGGCTTTGTTTGGGTCGTGAACAATTTTTAAATTGACAAAATAATCCATAAGGGTTGATTCGATGATATATAAAAAGAGGATTTAAATATTTATTAAAAAAATCAGTAAGGAAAGAAGTTAAGTCGGACGGGGCCGACTAAATGATACCCTTCACCACTTTGGGTATATAGAACATATGTATCCTTACAATTGCATGTCAATGTTCCTTCGAAGGGACATACTCATGTCTTTCTGTAACCTATGATAAATTTAATTTCATTCGGACAGATTTAGAGTCGTCAGCATACCGTGGGACAAATTTATAGAAAACGATGTATAGGAAAATAGGTATACAATATTCGGTACGTCGCACTGTTCAAAATTTAATCTCAATCAGACATCCGTTCGAAATCCATATGGAAGCTATGGCTACATCTGCACCAATTTCAACAAAATGCAATAACTTCATTCACCTATATCTAAATCTGTACCGATATTCACGAATCTTTACACTCATGGTTCTAGACTTAATTCAGTATGCTATGCCAAATTTCTTGCAAATCGAAGGATATATAGGGACTTTGGTGCACCATTTACCTAAAATCGGAAGAAAATATATATGAAGCTATATCTAAATCTGAAGCGATTTTCACGAAACTTAACACCCATCGTCGTAGACTTAATATAGTACGACTTGCCAAATTTCATGCAAATCGAAGGATATATAGGGACTTTGGTGCACCATTTGCATGAAATCGGACGAAACTTCATATGGGAGCTATATCTAAATCTATACCGATTTTCACGAAACATACCAGACATCATTCTAGGCTCAATTCAGTACGTTATGTCAAATTTCGTGCAAATCGAAAGATATATAGGGACTTTGCTGCACCATTTTCATGAAATCGGACGAAACTATATGGGAGCTATATCTAAATCTGGACCGATTTTCACGAAACTAGGCAGACATCACTCTAGGCTCAGTTTAGTACGTTATGCTAAATTTCGTGCAAATCGAAAGATATATAGGGACATTGGTGTACCATTTACATGAAATCGGACGAAAATATATTTGGGAGCTATATCTAAATCTGAACCGATTTTTCCCAATTTCAATAGGGTTCGTCCTTGGGCCAAACAAATGAGCTGTGCCAAATTTCATCCAATTCGGATCATAAATGCGACCTGTACTTTGCTCACAAAAATACATGGACAGACAGACGGACGGACATGCATAAATCGACTTAAAAAGTGATTCTATGCATATTCTCAAAAGGAACCATGAGTCTATCTCGTTTCCTTTTGCCTGTTACAAACATATGCACAAAGACATAATACCCTGTACCACAGTGTGGTGAAGGGTATAAATAATCCGAAAAAACTACGGGCCGATTTGCGTCGACGGTGAATATCGGCGTCGAATGTACCACAAGCTTGAGCTGCAGCGACTACTAGCCATCGTAGTCGCTCCATGTGGAGCGAATGAATGAGAATGCCCCAGCTCAAAAGGCATATAAAAGCGAGCCTACTGATGGTTCCCGAAGAAGGGGAAGGCCACGAATCAGATGGAAAGACCAAGTAGAAAAAAAACATCTTGGAACGTGGTCTTTCAAATTGGAGGAGATGCGCACAAGACCGACGCGCTTTGTAATCTTTTTTATACCCTTCACCACACTGTGGTACAGGGTATTATGTCTTTGTGCATATGTTTGTAACAGGCAAAAGGAAACGAGATAGACACATGGTTCCTTTTGAGAATATGCATAGAATCACTTTCTGAGTCGATTTACGCATGTCCGTCTGTCCGTCCGTCCGTCCGTCCGTCTGTCCGTCTGTCCGTCTGTCCGTCTGTCCGTCCATGTATTTTTGTGAACAAAGTACAGGTCGCATTTATGATCCGATTTGGATGAAATTTGGCATAGGTCACTTATTTGGCCCAAGGACGAACCCTATTGAAATTGGGAAAAATCGGTTCAGATTTAGATATAGCTACCATATATATATTTAACCGATTTAATGTAAACGGTCCCTATATATCTTTCGATTTGCACGAAATTTGGTACAGCCTAATCATTAAGGTCTTGAATGATGTCTGCCAAGTTTCGTGAAAATCGGTCCAGATTTAGATATAGCTCCCATATATAGATTCGTCCGATTTCAAGTAAATGGTGCCCCAAAGTCCCTATATATCTTTTGATTTGCACGAAATTTGGCATACCGTACTGAATTAAGCCTAGAGTGTTGTCTGCCAAGTTTCGTGAAAAT